TCGTCTCTCACACACACACACACACACACACACACACACACACACACACACACACACACACACACACACACACACACACACACACACACACACACACACACACACAGAACTATGCCTGAGTGATACTGCTAATTCAAGCCTCATTGGAGGGCATGGGTCTTGTTTGCTTTTCGTCAGCAGGCGTTTTAAATATTCCTAAAGTCCCCAAACATAACATGGGTGATGCAGCTTTTATTCGCTACGCTCCAAAACTTTGGAAACCCTATACCAGGAAATATCAGAGAGGCAAACTCAGTAGACACTTTTAAACAACAGCTGAAAACAGATTTATTTGATTGCTTTCGTTAGCGACATGTTGGTCTTCCTTTGTTTACATGAGAGGGTTATTTGACTTTGTGTATTAAAAGTGCAATACAAATAAAGCTTACTATTGTTATTTATGTAATTCTACTGTATATTGTAAATACATGTATCATTATCATTCTATTCATATGTAAGTATCTATCTGTTTTCCAGATATCCTGCAGTATTACCTGAGGTGCAGCCCTGGCCAGATCAACCCCTTCCAGCAGGTAACATCACCGTGTTGTCAGAGGGTTTTCTTTCTTCTTTTATATAATATATGTCTTTCATTCTGGAGTACTGTACATCACTAAAACATGTATGTGTGTTGTGTGTGTCTCCGTTTGTCTCTTGTGTCTCTGTGGTGTTTTGCAGAGGCTCTCAGGGAGTCACAAAGCATTGGTGGAGATGCAGGATGATGTGGCAGAGCTACTGAGATCAGCAACACGTGAATATGCCAACACCAAGGTGTGTGTGTGTGTGTGTGTGTGTGTGTGTGTGTGTGTGTGTGTGTGTGTGTGTGTGTGTGTGTGTGTGTGTGTGTGTGTGTGTGTGTGTGTGTGTGTGTGTAGGTCTTTATTTTCACGGCTGAGTGGACTTGCTTTAGTGGGAGCGTGATGAAAGTGGCAGTTACAAAAGTGGCACGTGTTTATCTGGTGTGTGTGTGAGGATGCACATGGAGGCGGATCACTATATTTTTGATGAATGTTGTGTCCTCGTGCTAAAAGTGGTTTTATTAGCTCAATTTTCATTCACCTTTTTTATTTGTTTATTTTTACCACTGTAAAGTGTCACCTGATAAAGCCAATCAAATACGTGTAATTACGTATCTGCCACTACGTTTTTTTGCTCGACTAAATACTGTTAATATTTACATTAATGGTGTGACCGTCTATGCTTCCTTAATGGCTCTTTTTACTGCACTGTTAGTGTACAGTTTTATTATTATTATGCTGATGTGTTTATTGTATTTTTGTAACTCTGGCACAACAATTTCCTTCGGGATAAATAAAGTCCTATCTTATCTTATCTCTTATGCCTGGGTAACATTTGTCTTGATGCGCAGGGGAGTCTGGAGCAGATCCAGTCGGTGCTGAACTCCACCGAGGTCGGTCTCCACCAGCTGACCGCCCTGGTGGACTGCCGCAGCCTTCACATGGTGAGTCGCTCCGTGTGTCGTGTTAGAAAGAAACAACTCCTCATTTACAACCCGTTCTAAACAGCAGACTCCTCTCCACGCAGGACTACGTTCAGGCGCTGACCGGGCTGTGTTACGACGGCGTGGAGGGCATCATCTACCTCGTTCTCTTCTCCTTCGTCACCGCTCTGATGTTCTCCTCCATCGTCTGCAGTGTGCCACATACCTGGCCTGGCAAGAGGTAACACACACACACACACACACACATACACACATAGTCTCTCTGAGAAGCACACACACGTCTTTACAATCCTTAATCTGATCACTAACATCTAACATGTAACTAGTTCTAACTTCAAAGTGGTTTAACGTGACTTTACGACCTGCAGACAGTGGAAAGAGCCGTAAAGAATCCACTCAGTGCCATGCATGTCATTCTTTAAGTGTTTTTGCCTCCTGAGCTGTTCTCTGTACGTCCTCCTGCCTGTCTTTGCACCATTTCCTCTGCAAGTTTTCTTTGTTTTCTTTGTTTTACCGTTAGCACTGCCAGTCTGGCCGATTGTCTGTTTCCATGTTTATACTTATCTCTCATTTTTCTTTTCCTCGCTGTGGACTTGGAGCTCCAGTTTTGTGTTAGATTGTTTTTTTTTTCTGTGCCCCACTTCCTCCTTCTGTTCCGTCCCTCTCTCCTCTCTCCCTGTCCTGATTTGGAAATGCTTCGGGCTTCAGCGAATGATGGTGGATATCGAGGAATTAAACGACCCTATGGTCCCATAAAAACAGCCCGTTCCGATTCAGCCATTCAAACAAATAAATAATTAGCTGGGAACATCAGTGCAAAGAGCTGTAGACTGATGACTTTCACTCTGATTTTAATCATTAAACACAGCTGTGCCATAATAGTGGGTTTTTACGCTCGGTTTTTCGGTGTGAATTACCAATAAATGCTAATGCATGGCCCAGCAGGAATTAAACAATAATCCATCGTGTCCCCGATTTGAGCAGAAGTAACTGCTCATGGGGTCAGTTGCATATTAGCCTGACTGTCCTGCAGCCGTCTGTTTGATAAGCTGCACAGATTAGCTCTTTGTTGGTTTCCTGAGTGAAACACTGCCATCTGGTGGCCAGTCAACGCAGTACGTGTCTGAAAATACCGTAGGTTATTCCAATAAACCAAATCTGTCCTCCCGCCATCTTTACTTCTTTGAAACATTACCAGCCTCATGTGGGTTTGTTAATATGGGTACAACTGGTATAGACCTCCCAAAAACAACAAAGAAGAAAAACCAATAGCCTTGAAAATAGGTTCTCTACATGATCACACGTACATGTATTTTGTGGTTGACCTATACATTTTAGAAGCCAGTACATTTCTGTAGCCAGAGATCCAACTTCCAAATCAGCACACATCGTATTTGATGCCTCATTCTGTTACGTTGCTGGCCGTTTATTTTTTACATTTTTGACCATTTTATGTCTGAAAATGGTTTTGCCTAAACCAGCCATGTTATCTCCTTTTTCCCTGATGTTTTTGCTTTTAAGTTTCATGGAGCGCTCAGTGATGCATGAAGTACTTTGAAAGAGAATAATCTAACTTTGATTCAGATTAGACAAATTGAGATGGACAGTAATTATGAAGAGATTTCAATAGAGAATGACTGCATGAAGAACAAATAATGCATGTTTCTACATATTAGGACAACTTTTAGAATATTGAAGAGTTTTTTACCTTTGTACTGTTAAATATAATGTAAAAACACAAACATCAACTTCATGGGTCCACTCTGGGCTGCGTAGTGATATGAGAGACCCTGATGTACTTGTAGTGGACGTGTGTTGTAGATGAATGCTGCCCATGTTCCTTTTCTTCTTGTTCAGCCGCTTTGGTGCTGGAGGCATGGCCTTACCCAGTGTTTTGTATCAGAGGACTCCACATAGCACACCTTCCCCCTCTCCTAACCTCCTCTTCACTTGTTTACACTCTGTTGTCTCTCTCGGATCTTCCTCCCCTCTACCCCCCTCCCCCTTATCCATCATGCCCTCTCGTGCCCTGCCCTAACCCTGACCAATTGAAGGACGGATGAGGAAGACGGAGAGGACGAGTCGGGCGCCTCACGGGGCGGTGTGCACGATAACCTGTACCGCGTTCACATGCCCAGTCTCTACAGCTGTGGCTCCAGCTACGGTAGCGAAGCTAGCCTGCCCGCTACCGCCCACACTGTCAGCAATGCCCCCGTCACTGAATACATGTGAGTTAGCACCCACTGCTGGCTGGAGGCTAGCAGGATCAATACACTTCCTGCCATAGGTAGCTGATGCTTGCCCCTTCCCCCCCTGACCCAGACGAGCAGCATAGCTACGCTCACTGCCTGCAATACGCTAAGTTAGAATAGCTGTAGCACATCCCTCAGGACACTTTGTCAGCACTCAGCGAGTTACAACCCTTCACTAGCTTTCCCTGTGATGCTGATAGAGAAACACTGCTTCCTGTTTCAGTCCACGATGTTAGCAACAAAAACAGATTCAAGTTTGAACTCAACAATAAGTTTATACTTTCACCCTGCTTGCTACGGTTTGCTAAAGGAGTGCTTGCTCTGAATACAACACATAATACAGCTATTGGCTTTAGTCTGCCACTGCTTGCTGCTACTTTAGCTGTGAGCACATCTACTACTTTGTGCTGCTTACTGCTACAAAAAGATATTTAACTCTGCAGCCAGGGTTAAGGAAACAGACACTACCTATCATTTGGCATTGTGAGGTTTTGCACCAATAAAGGACCATGTTTTTAATGTTTTAGGAGATGATCAAGTCCTGCATACATAACAATACTGATGACTATGTTAAAGGCTTTCAGAGAGATGGATATCCTCCTGTGTAGCCAGAAAGTCACATTAAGCTTCTCACATTGAGTAAAGCCTCACTTAGCATTCATGCTGTAAGTTGAACCATGTTCCTTCAGTTTTTCAGACACATCTACCATATTTACCGAAGGCTTGTAGCTCTCTGACTGTCACCATCAGGGATCAATTCCACTGTTCGACATAAAATGCAAGATATTAAGGACATAGTCATTTACTATTTGGAAATTACCAATACATTATTTTTTACATATTAGCTATGGGTACACACACACACACACACACACACACACACACACACACACACACACACACACACACACACACTAACAATGTGTGGGTGTGTTGAATCTGAGAAGTGAATTTAGTGCTGAGGACATTGGTGCAGCTGAATCTCAGCAGCAGGTGCTGAGTGCTTCTCATGAGACTCATTCCTTTAGGGAAACTTGTCATGAGACTTTTGGCTTCTTTGGTAACTAAAAAACAAATAGACTGAAGAAAAAAAACAATTTTAAAACTGTTTCAAAACAAGAACACAAGGCATCACAAGCCCGTTTTGTAATAGCATTGATCATTAGGATATTCTGGGTGTGCTCATAGAGAAAAGTATCTGCTACTGATCTGGGTTAGTGCATTTTTGTCAGATGTTAGAGTGGATTAGCCAATCATATGTGACCAATTCAACTTAATAGATCCTCTCATTGACCGGGTCATTCATAGCGAGCGATTGGGCGTGCTGTTGGCGTTGTGGCTGGCCTGAAACCGGTGGAAAACACACTCCCAAATGGTAAAAAATAAGAGCTATTAACACTGAGACTGCTATGAAAGTGTCTCACTGTACAGACATCCAGATACAGGAAGGTCTGTCTGTAAGGGACCTACGTCAAATGATCAGAACAATTTAAAGAATGTCAGGAAACTCCTTTGTTTGTGCCATAAGTTCCCGGGACATCGTGCAAGAAAAACTGCCCATTCAGAATATCTATTAAAAGGTCTCAATTTAAAATATTCCTAAACATAATTCAGGATTTATCAACGATTGGCAAGTTTCCTTCTGGTTTTGTTTCATTATAGAGAGGTTTTCCACGTGTCTGCAGTAGAGACACTGGGAGATGGTGTGTGTTTCTGCAGAGAGGAGCTGATGTCTCTGGCTTTGAGCCCGTTAAATTCCCAGCCGGAGTTCAGACACAGCTGTTTCTTTCTGCTGCTCCTAACCCGGCATGCACTGCTTAATATTCCTCCTCTCTGCTGGGTTTATGTGAGGAGAAAATCTGACTCACTTAATACAACTTTCTGTTAAAATATGTAGACATTTAGATCGAGAAAGAGAGAAGGCAGTCCGAGTATCTGACAGTACAACTTGGAAATGTTAGTGTCAAATAAGAAAATCTAACTTTTTGCCTAAACTATAATTAAATATTTTAAAAAAACAGATGTTACAGGGATCTAAAGATCTATGATAAGAAAAAACTCACTTTTCATAGAAAACAACACCGTAATATCATATTTCTTCAGATATTAGCTCAGACTAGCCAAGCTGTCATCAAAGGACATTCATGATTTCAGTTGCATGAACAAATGACACTTATTGAACATTTGAATGCAGCCAGCCTTGTATTATTTAATTGTTTGACCTTTCTCTTCACGGTCTACTGTATATTTTCTACTTTTTAATGCCGTTTTTTTTCTATTTTGAGATGTTTAAATTCTAGTATTGTTTATTTCTACCGTTTAAAGGTATGGTATGTAAATTTGAGAAACCAGCTCGAGATCGCTAGAATTTGAAAATACACGACCGGAGAAAATCTGCCACTTCCTTCCAGAGCCCCTCCTCCAACACACACGAACGCGCACGTGACCAATGAGGGCACGAGATAAGTTTGTGCACAGATGGAAGGCTGACAGGCAGGTAGGCCATCCAGTTACTTTAGCCGGCTCAGATGATTGGTCGTGCTTTTTACAGCGCCACGGCTTCCACAGATGATATGTTTTTATGTATTTTTTGTCAAAGCACTTCAGATATTCATTGCTATCGGGATGTTAAGAGCATTCCATGGAATATAACAACAAGTGTATCTCGAGCCGGTTTCTCAAACTTACCTACCACACCTTTAAGTTATGTGCAATGCTTTGTTTTGTTGTTTTTTTTGCTGCTGCAACGCAAACATGTCTCAATTTGGAATCAATAAAGTACCTCTTATCGTATCGTATCGTATCTTTCTATTGTTTTGATATAAGGAGCAGCCTTAGAATGTACAGGATAAACTCACAGTTAGCTTTGAATTGTTAAAACCAGATCATCTCATTTCTTTTGAATAGCAGGGTCTACGTGTCCCAGACTCTGAGTCACAGTTTAAAGCACAGATTTAGAGAGACTGACGCTGTATTTCCAATCTGATGAGTCACTGGAGCTCTGCACGCACTGTGAGATGACATCTGAACCCCGAGACGAACTTGGTGACTGCATTAAAGTTCACTTTTAACCTAATAACTCCTTTTGGGGAAGTAGCTTGTCTAATACTAAATCTGCGGAAAATCTGTTGGAGAGTTATGCTGAAAAATCAGTTTCTTTTAAATCGTAGGCAAATGGGACTAATGTGTTTTGATCTTTTAGGAAAAATAACTGCGGTCCCATGTGCCCAAATAATAATGTAATAAGAGAATGGCTGTATCTGAAAAACTGCACTACCCAATGTGAGAATAACATATGGAAGACATTTAATAATTTATTTTTGGGTTTTCTCTTAATTTCTCAAGTCTTAGAGTAAAATGTGCTGTAAATGTGTGTGACAGAAATATTGCATGCTATTATTTGTAGGAATAGACCTGATTTGAACTCTCTCTCGCACACAATGTGATGTGTCCGCAGACCTGAAGCCTTTCTGTGTGTGTGTGTGTGTGTGTGTGTGTGTGTGTGTGTGTGTGTGTGTGTGTGTGTGTGTGTGTGTGTGTGTGCTGTCTGTCTGCCTCCCATCTGTTTCTCTCTCCATTTCCTCCCATTTGTCATTCTGTCTTTCTGGATCTTCATCACTGTAATAAACCGATCCATAAAGTAAGCACAACACATAATCCCTTTTATCCTTACTGTCACTTTTACAAAAAACTTTAGAGGAAGAGGGACAGAAAGGAACAGACAAAAAACATAACCTTCACACATGAACAGAGTAACATGAACACATCTTACTATTCCCTAACGCAGGGGTTCCCAAACTTTGCCATGCCAAGGACCCCCATATAGCATTATCCTCTGGCGGGGACCCCCCTGTTGCAAAATTTTTTTAAATGATGTGTACAAGTGCCTCGCGATGGAGCATGCAGTGCGTTGCCACTACATTTGGGGCCTTCTGCCTGATCAAAGCTGTCACTCTGCTTTCTTTGCCTGTCATAGCCCCACTGCCCCATCTGAACACACAACCACACAACGAGGCCAGTTACGTCCGTTTGAGATGATGTAATCTAAAACTTGGAAAATGTCTCTTCCTGTGGTCCTACCTTCCAGTGCTTTGCAAAATAATATTTCCTCAACAAAGTTGTCTTCTGAAATAAATCTGATGTATGCAAGCAATTCTGCGACCTTTGCTACATCCGTGCCCTCATCCAGCTGCAGAGCGAAACATTCACTAGCTCTCACTTGCTCCAAAAGCTGAGCAGATACTCAGTTTCACTCTCAGTAGCGGCAGCTCGATTTTGATTGGATTGAAGGGCAGTCATGTGATTCAAAAACAACAAATATTAAAAGATTGGCATCAAAGGACACATAGATTGATAGATATGCAGTTATTAATAACATCTAAAAATAAATAAATTAAAAAAAACTTTAAAAAAAATAAAAATCCCATTTCCCTCAAACTTTACGTGACCCCCGTGGTGCCCCCTGGCGGCCCCCACTTTGAAAAAAACTGCC